GATTTATTCTACATTTGAAGAATGTCATTTCATTTAAAATGGTCATTTCGCCAAGAAAACAATTTATTTCAGATATCAGAAATAGCTATTCAGTTAAACTAATAAAGTATTAATACGAACTGCCATAGCCTTTTGTAACGACATTAACATTACATGAAAACTAGTTTAGTGGTTTAATGGTAGTAGATCAATGTATATGTTTAGGTCTTATCACGTGTCCGCAGGTGAAGATGAAGTCTAAAAATGTTGTTCTAACAGGTAGGACCTGTTCATCATCTCATGGGGTTCCTCATCAGGTCGATCCTGTTTTCCAGTGTTTTTTCCAGAGTGTCCGTCTGACTGAGCAGTTGTTTTCTATGATGCTGTTATCACCCATCAATGTTGTCTCCCTGATATAATCCAGTTCCGTTAGAGAAGTCCTTAAAGCTGCTAATGAGGACGGATCAGGTTGGATGTCTGTGATGGTGCAACATTAGCGCTCAGAAAGAGAACCTTCTGAATATAAAGGATGCTCTAAGAATCCTCTCCCTAAAAATATTCAATCATCTGTGAAATAATGCAGCTCATTATTTAATTGGATCCTCGTCTAAAGGACATGATACTGTATGTTTTTATTTTTAACACTTAATGTCTCAAACTACGGAAGCCTAGAGCCGTCCTAATCGACTTAGTTTTTTTTCTTTGCCTTCTCGAGATAATGACATAATTATCTTGTTATCACGTTTAAACTATTAATTGTTTTCTCAATATAACAAGATAATTATTTCGTTATCAGGGTAAAACAGTTATTGATTTCTTGAGATAACGAGATGATTAACCTGTGTGAGTAATGAATAAGGCTGGCCAACAGCCCAGGATTCCCAGTCCATCCATGCCTGCGGGGCCCATAGTTGTGCAGCCGCGGTACCACGTTTCCTTTTTCTTTTCCCTCATTGTTAGGTGGTGGTGGATGATTGGATTGCATGCAATACAGCAGAAACAAATCTGACTGTTTTTTTATGAAAATCTTTAATCTGACTCATTTGGCGGGTTAATGCATCTTATAGCTGTTCAAGGCGTAACAGCTATAACATCTAGAGACATAGGTCTAATTGCTTATGAATCGGAAGTGGAAGCAAATCATCAAACCAACAATGTCATCTCGTTATCTAAAAGTTAAACACAGAATCATTTACAGAAATACACATTAGCTGCCATGACTTATAAATCCTCTCCCGCTGTTGTGGTATTAAAGTAATCAGCTTTAACGCACACCAATCATCTCGTTATGATGAGAAAACGGCTTTCGTTATCTTTAGATAATGAGAAACTGAATTCGTTTTCTGGAGAAAACCACCATGAAAAAGTATCTGAAGGACATGATCGCTCTGGGCTTCCGTATCTAACAGTCCTAGTGAATGATTTCCTTTAAATTGTTCTTTTTAAACTATGAGAAAAATCTCTTGACTAAATTAGAAAATAAAAAAAAACCAGATTGGCTGTAAGGAGAGCGCAGACAGAGGACTCTGAGGAAAACCTGCTGCTGGCCAGGTTAGCTCTGGATGTATGTTACTATGGCAACAGAGACAGAGGTTGAGGAAAGGTTTTGTGAAATGGAAATCTCAGAGTTTCCCTGATTTCAGGTGTAGAAAACTCAGCTTTGCTAAACCGGCTTAATGAAACGGACCTCAGTTCTCCAAGGTCGATGTTCTGCAGAGAAGCAAGAGAAGCGCAGGTATAGAAATTTATGATGACAGCTGCAGTCAAAGTGTCAGTAGAGTTGAACTAACTCCCAGAGTTTATGTCTGTGATGGTCATCGAATGAAAAGTGGGATTACGGTACATTAAACAGTCGACTGATCTGAGCTTCATTTTTCAATGTTTTCTAAATAAAAATGAATAGAAAAGTTGTAACCCAGGCAGTAATCTTTATTCTATATTTTCAGCCTTTTTCCATCAAAATATTACTATTACTTTATCAATTTATCAAGCACTTAAAAAAACAATGTCACACACATATTAGGAAGAGAAACAAATAAGCAAAAACAGCTCGATCATAATAGAAACAATAAAAAGGGCAATAAAATAAGCCAAAGAAAACTACACTTCAGTAATTAATCAGAGTAAACGTTTAACCAAGATGAGTTACAGTGTATAAACCTACTGGGAAATAAAAGATGATGGTTGGTTATCTGTGACGGTTTTCGATTTTCACTATTTTCAGGTTGTTTTCTGCAGAGATGAAAGCGTTTAACGATCAGTTTGACCTTCAGCTCGGTGGTGGACACATGAACATAGACAGGAGCACGTTCACACCAGCAGCCTTTTCTCTGGTCTTCAGAGGCAACTCCAGAAATGTTTGACCACGGAAACTAAAAGCCATAATTTCAGTGTTTGAATCTACTATTGTGGTGAACCTGCCTGTAGAAATCAGAAAGACTTCAGTAACGCCTCCTCAGATCCTGGTTTATTGTGCGATTTTTAATGTTACGTCGCTGGCTGAGCAGAACGGGATGAAATGCTACTGATGCTACTAGAATTTACCCTGGCCAATGGGGTGGCCAATGGGTTGGCCGGTGGGGTGGCCAATGGGGTGGCCAATGGGGTGGCCGGTGGGGTGGCCAATGGGGTGGCCAATGGGGTGGCCAATGGGGTGGCCAATGGGGTGGCCAGTGGGGTGGCCAGTGGGGTGGCCAGTGGGGTGGCCAGTGGGGTGGCCAATGGGGTGGCTGGTGGGGTGGCCAGTGGGGTGGCCAATGGGGTGGCCAATGGGGTGGCCAATGGGGTGGCTGGTGGGGTGGCCAGTGGGGTGGCCAATGGGGTGGCCAGTGGGGTGGCCAGTGGGGTGGCCAATGGGGTGGCTGGTGGGGTGGCCAGTGGGGTGGCCAATGGGGTGGCCAGTGGGGTGGCCAATGGGGTGGCTGGTGGGGTGGCCAGTGGGGTGGCCAATGGGGTGGCCAATGGGGTGGCCAATGGGGTGGCCAGTGGGGTGGCCAGTGGGGTGGCCAATGGGGTGGCCAGTGGGGTGGCCAGTGGGGTGGCTGGTGGGGTGGCCAATGGGGTGGCCAATGGGGTGGCCAATGGGGTGGCCAGTGGGGTGGCCAATGGGGTGGCCAATGGGGTGGCCAGTGGGGTGGCCAGTGGGGTGGCTGGTGGGGTGGCCAATGGGGTGGCCAGTGGGGTGGCTGGTGGGGTGGCCAGTGGGGTGGCTGGTGGGGTGGCCAGTGGGGTGGCCAGTGGGGTGGCCAATGGGGTGGCCAGTGGGGTGGCTGGTGGGGTGGCCAATGGGGTGGCCAGTGGGGTGGCTGGTGGGGTGGCCATTGGGGTGGCCAGTGGGGTGGCCAATGGGGTGGCCGGTGGGGTGGCCGGTGGGGTGGCTGGTGGGGTGGCCAGTGGGGTGGCCAATGGGGTGGCCAGTGGGGTGGCCAGTGGGGTGGCCAGTGGGGTGGCTGGTGGGGTGGCCAGTGGGGTGGCCGGTGGGGTGGCCAATGGGGTGGCTGGTGGGGTGGCCAGTGGGGTGGCCGGTGGGGTGGCCAATGGGGTGGCTGGTGGGGTGGCCAGTGGGGTGGCCAGTGGGGTGGCCAGTGGGGTGGCCGGTGGGGTGGCCAGTGGGGTGGCTGGTGGGGTGGCCAGTGGGGTGGCTGGTGGGGTGGCCAGTGGGGTGGCCGGTGGGGTGGCCAATGGGGTGGCTGGTGGGGTGGCCAGTGGGGTGGCCAGTGGGGTGGCCAGTGGGGTGGCCAGTGGGGTGGCCAGTGGGGTGGCCAGTGGGGTGGCCGGTGGGGTGGCCAATGGGGTGGCCGGTGGGGTGGCCAATGGGGTGGCTGGTGGGGTGGCCAGTGGGGTGGCCAGTGGGGTGGCCAGTGGGGTGGCCAGTGGGGTGGCCAGTGGGGTGGCCGGTGGGGTGGCCAGTGGGGTGGCTGGTGGGGTGGCCAGTGGGGTGGCTGGTGGGGTGGCCAGTGGGGTGGCCAGTGGGGTGGCCAGTGGGGTGGCTGGTGGGGTGGCCAGTGGGGTGGCCAGTGGGGTGGCCAGTGGGGTGGCCAGTGGGGTGGCCAGTGGGGTGGCAAGTGGGGTGGCCAATGGGGTGGCTGGTGGGGTGGCTGGTGGGGTGGCCAGTGGGGTGGCCGGTGGGGTGGCCAGTGGGGTGGCTGGTGGGGTGGCCAGTGGGGTGGCTGGTGGGGTGGCCAGTGGGGTGGCCGGTGGGGTGGCCAATGGGGTGGCTGGTGGGGTGGCCAGTGGGGTGGCTGGTGGGGTGGCCAGTGGGGTGGCCAGTGGGGTGGCCAGTGGGGTGGCTGGTGGGGTGGCCAGTGGGGTGGCTGGTGGGGTGGCCAGTGGGGTGGCCGGTGGGGTGGCCAGTGGGGTGGCTGGTGGGGTGGCCAGTGGGAAGGCTAGTGGGGTGGCCAATGGGGTGGCTGGTGGGGTGGCCAGTGGGGTGGCCAGTGGGGTGGCCAGTGGGGTGGCCAGTGGGGTGGCCAGTGGGGTGGCCAATGGGGTGGCTGGTGGGGTGGCTGGTGGGGTGGCCAGTGGGGTGGCCAGTGGGGTGGCCAATGGGGTGGCCAGTGGGGTGGCCAATGGGGTGGCCAGTGGGGTGGCCAATGGGGTGGCCAGTGGGGTGGCCGGTGGGGTGGCCAAATGGGTGGCCAATGGGGTGGGCACTGCTCGTCTTTCCTCCTTTGAACAGTGACACGGAGAAACAGACCCGTTAAAGAGGCACAATGCTTAAACCTCATGTAGACAGATGGGTCAACTGATGAATTTAACATTTATAACTAAGAACAACCCTGATTTATTACATAAGGACTGCAGTAGCTGATTATGATTCTGTATTTATATAATTATCTAATGAGAGATGTTTTCCTGTTGGACACGTTAGATTATTTTAAGTTGCTTCATTTTCTTTTTTCTTTTTTTTTACAGATTTTAATTATTGGCAGTGGGGTCAAAAGTATTAATTTTTATTACTCCACTATAAATCCTACTGTTTAAAAATGCTTTTGTAGAAGTTAGAGGATCAACTTTTTACTCAAGTTAAAGTTTTTAAAACTGTTAAGGCCAGAAGCTTTACTGCTCCACCCTATTAAAGGAACATTTTTCTACAATTCAGGATACAAACTTCCGCAGACTTCATTGTTTACAGTTGTGAATTACAATTTGCATCATTTTGATAAACTTAAAATGTACATTAAAATGTAAGAAGTAGAAATAAAAAGTTGTCTAAAAGATAATTACTGCAGTAAAGTATAGAGAGCCAACATTTCTACTTAAGTTACTTTGTTACTTGACTCCTTTGCTTATTGGCTCCAATAATTGAAAATGCAGTTTAATTTTCTACATGGATAAATATAGCAGAATAATATTATTACTAATGAGATAAATATGAGCCTACAGCAACCAGCAAAAGGACATAATTAGTTGTTGGTGTTACGGTGTGTCGCACGTTTCCGTCTCACAGACACCAGGGGGCGCTCTCTTTTCCTCTCGGTGGAAAATCTTCCCATCAGGCTGGACCTTCCACCTCAGCTCCACCTCCTCTCCTTGGTCCTCCACCCTCTTCTTCAGCTGAAAAACAGTTTCCTCACATTAAGACTGAGTCTAAACCAGGTTTTATCTTCAGGAGCTGCAGCGACTTTTCCCAGTTTAATAAGACTCCAAATAAATCTGTGAGTTTTTCAATCAAAGGTCGTCACCGTTTTTTCTTTGGGTTTTAAAGTGAAATGCATTCTTTGTGTGTCTGTCAGTTCTTTAATAAAACCATGAAATGTTTCTGACCTGCTGCAGGATGGATTCCTGCACCTCAGGGTCATTCAGGTCTGCAGATCCTGGATCCACCCGAATCTTCACCATCCTCATCATTGAAGGTACAACGTCTGCAGGGAGACCCAAAAATGTCTAATCAGCTCTGCAGGATCTCAGCCTGCAGAGAAGGTGAAGAGAAAGACTCACCTGTGCTGCATAGGAAGCCGTAGCGCTCACTGCAGGGCCGCCTGATCCAGGAACCTAAAGAAGAGTCCATCATCACGCAGTTTGCCTCCTCAGTAGATGTCTGGGCGCCTAAAGGTAAGTAGGAGATGCTGCTGTTGTCTGACCAGACCCAGTCAGATCTGTGAAGACCGATCCATCCATATGATGTGAAACGCGTCAACAATGACCATGCAAGAGCATGGTTATGTGCTGAATCTCTGATGGTGGTCAGGTCTGTGTATGTGGACCTGCAGTGGGACTGAGCATCAGACCAGCTCTTCTTCTGCATCACCACAATATCAAGATTAGTTGAAGCTGTTGGTTAACAAATCAGAGATGTCAAATTCAAAAAGCTGCTCGTGATCAAAGAAATGCAGAACTTTTTATGTCATAAAACACAATGTTATAACACAATGTTTCTTTAATCTAGAGGGGCATCTGTGAGTAATCGGTATCTTTAGGCTATATTGATGTCTGTTTGAAGAACTAGAGAGGAGGGATGGAACCGCTACCCTTTTGAAACCGTGCTGAGAACGGTCCGAGTACGGTAACGATATAACTGTTGAATGTAAATGGAACAAACCAAACCGCGCTAAATCTAGGACTAGTTCGACAGTAAGGCTCGACACGGTTCATCTGTCGCTCGGTTCTCTGATAACAAAGAGCGCATCAGCAGACCATCATCTTAATCGCCTTTAAGTGGGCACTTAAAGGAATAGTACACCCAAAACATGATTAGCCTTCATTTTCTACTCCCCCCCATGCTGAACAACACTCTGGAGTACTTTTTTGATATCTCAAATGCATCTGGAGATCTGGGAGGCTTCTTGCTGTCTGCTGACATTCAAATAATGGAGGTCTATGGCGCCCGAGGCAGAAAGGTCCATAAAAGTCCACAAAAAACGTGTCAATATTCCTCCATACTGCTCGTCCAATGTATTCCAAGTGTCCTGAGTGGGTAGCATAGGCGTCGCCAGACCCCATTTACTGGGGCACGTGCCCCAGTATAAATGAGCAGTGCCCCAGTATAAACCTCATGAATATTTGCAACAGTGATACATTTTTTTAATGCATCAATTTAGATAATTCCAACAGGAGGAGACGTATATTTCTACTCAAATGCGCAGCAAGTGTGTGGTAACTCCAAATTGAGGATGTATTAGCGCCCCCACGTCAGCGCATGTCACTGCATGAACTGCAGGTAAATTAACGCGCTGCTCTCAGGTGAGTTGGATGGGACACTGTGCAGCCGCGACGCATTTTTAGTTCTGGTAATGTTTCTTACCTGTCAATTTTATTATTTTCCCAGTGAAACCACATGATTTATAGGCTACTAACTGAAAATGACTGCATTGGTTTGTAGATGGATATCAGGAAATTCCTCACACGAAGCAGAGACAGGGAAGCAGTAAAACAAGATGAGAGAGAGGGAGGTAAGGTCCCGTGATGAATTAGTGATTTAAGCTAAGCAGTTACATTAGGGACGTTATAAGCAATATGATAGATATTTACATAATTATAAATTTACGTTTTTTAATGTTTGCTGTAGAGAATGAGAATGAAGATGCTGGAGTAGGAAAGGGAGGAGGAGGAGAGACTGACAGGCAAGAGACAGGAGAGAGACAGGAGAGACAGGTGAGAGACAGGACCATGAAGGTGATGAGGGAGCAACAACCAGCGTCCACAAACAAGAAGGAGATATTAGTGACTTAGGGGGAAAGCATGATGGTCCTAAACAAGTGAAGTTGTCCCACTATCCCCAGGACAAATTTGGAGTTTAAAAAACTTTCATTTAATTCAAAATGGTTTGAAAGCTTTTTATGGTTGAAAAAGAAATCCTTGTTATCAAGGATATGCAGTGTGTTTTCAACTTGCTTGATAACACCATGTTCCCCACACTAAGGCAGGTCATCCAGATCTCCTCACCATCCCAGTCTACAGCTGGAGTTGTGAAAGGTCATTCAGTGTGTTGAGAAGGATCCACACTTGGCTGAGGTGCACAATGGGACAAGACAGGCTCCATCATCTTGCTATTTTATCAGTTGAAAAGGAAGAACTTTCTAAGCTGAGTCACAGTCTAGTGATTGACCGCTTTGCAAAAATGAAAAATAGGAGGTACACTTTAATGCTAAAAAAATAAAGAAAAACTTAGTTCAGGTTGAGTTAAACTTTCCCCTGAACTGTTTATGCTCTAAAAACATTCTAAATGACTTCGTTTCGAGTAAATTCTGGACGCTACCCACTCAGGACACTTGGAATACATTGGACGAGCAGTATGGAGGAATATTGACACGTTTTTTGTGGACTTTTATGGACCTTTCTGCCTCGGGCGCCATAGACCTCCATTATTTGAATGTCAGCAGACAGCAAGAAGCCTCCCAGATCTCCAGATGCATTTGAGATATCAAAAAAGTACTCCAGAGTGTTGTTCAGCATGGGGGGGAGTAGAAAATGAAGGCTAATCATGTTTTGGGTGTACTATTCCTTTAAAGGGGACAACAGAGTCCATTGAGCGCAATGTGGATGGAAGATCATTCCAAAGCCTGGGAGCAACAGCCTGAAAGGTTGGAACGTCTGGTATGATAACAAGTGCGTGGAACCAGACTCTGATCCACAGACCTCAGAGCCCACCCAGGCGTTTAAGGCTGGATCAGATCACTGATGTATGAAGGAGCCGGACCATGTAAGAGTCTAAAAGACAAAACTAGAATTTTAAACGTGATCCCGTAAGACACTGGAAGCCAATGAAATTCTTTTAGAAGCAGGAAAATGTGAGTCCTCCTATTTGTACGGGTCAGAATTCTCTCTTTTGGCAGTTTTGCACTGATTGCAGTCAAGAGAGATTCTTCTTTGAGGAAGTCTAGCAGCCAATAGCAGAGGGGTGTATTGAAGCCCAGCTGTTCCAGTTTGCCCATCAGATGCTGTGGGATGATGGTGCTGAAAGCTGAACTGAAGTCCAGGAACAGCATCCATCGTGGGTGTTCTTCTCCTCCAGGTGTGCCAGGCTCAGGTGGAGAGCAGCAGAGATGGCGTCCTCAGTGGAGCGGTTCCGTCGGTAGGCGAACTGGAACGGGTGGAATGTTGGCGGCAGACTGGAGACGATGTGTTCTTTAACCAGCCTTTGGAAGCACTTCATCATGATGGGAGTCAGAGCGACAGGCCGCTAATCATTGAGGGAGGCGACCTGAGGCTTCTTTGGGACTGGAATAATGGAGGCAGGCTGGAAGCATGCTGGCACTATGGATTGGTCCAGCCAGGTGTTAAAGATGTCTGTGAGGACACCAGCCAGCTGATCTGACCACTCCTTATACACCTGCCCAGGTATGTTATCAGGTCCTGGGGCCTTCCTTGGGTTGACTCTCCTCAGACCTTTCCTCATTTCAGCTACATCCAGGTTTAGTGCCTCCTCCCCCTTGTGTGGAACAGCTTTCACTGCTGGAGGCTGTTTAGTGCCTCAAACCTTCCAAAAAACTTGTTCAGTTCATTTAGGAAGTCAGAGTTTGCTGCATCTACTGGGGGGGAGGGGAGGGTGTGTTTGCCCGTATGCCTTTCCGCATCTTCTTGGTGTTGTTGGCATCATGGAAGAGATCCTGGATCTTCTGGCTGTGGTTCTGCTTCTCTGATCTGATGGAACGGTTTAAGTGGTCCTCAGTGCCTCTCTGTCATCAGACTTGAAGGCTGAGTTCTGTGCTTTTAGAAATTTCTATATATCATAAAATTCTATACCTCTCCATTTATCCAGGGTGGTTGGTTGGCCCGGGTGGTGATGTTCTTTGTGATGCTTCTTCAATGCATTTGTTAATGTAGGCTGACACAGTCATGGCATACTCATCAATATTTATCTTGTTGTCATAAGTTGCTGCAGCTTTGAACGTATTCCTTCCAGAGTATTCCAAACAGTCCTGGAGTTTCTCCATGGTCCCCTCAGACCACACTCTGATTTCTTTAACTGTTGGTTTAGCCCTTATTAGCTGGGGCCTGTATGCAGCCCCCCCGCCCCTGAGGTGGGGGTAGGGGGCTGTTCTGAATGCGCCTTTGATGTAAAAGCAAACCAGGTCTAAAATATTTTCATCCCGAGTTGCAAAGTCCACATGTTGGTAAAAATTAGGGAAAACAGTCTTCAAGTTAGCCTGATTAAAATCCCCAGCAACGATGAAAACAACCAAGAATTATAAGTTCCGGATCGTTCCTTAAGACGTTATTCCTGAGTTTAGAGATTGTCCTTAGTTGAAAGAAGTTTCTTGTCAGCTGCTTACAGTCCTGCACTAAGGACATATCTTTGTCAAAGATAACTCCCAAGTTTCTAAGACTTGGCTTAGTAGACTGGCCTAAGTAACCCAAGTGCTATTTAATCCATGGAATAGAATCAATAACCAGTGTTTCTGTTTTGTCTTCATTTAGCTGCAGAGAGTTATCACTTTGGCGCTGCTTAATTTCCATGAGACAATGGAGCAAAGAATTTAGCTTCTAGATTTCAAACCGCTTAAAGGAGCAGTAAAGCTGGATATCATCAGCAAATAGGGAAAAGCAAACATCACTAAACTGTTAAATGATGTTTCCCAAACTGATCAAATACGACAAAAATAAAACTGGGCACAAAACGCAACCTTGAGGCACTCCACACAACAAATCTATAGACTCAGACCTTATTTGGTTAGCTGTAACACTAAAGCTATGCCCAGATAAATATGACGGGAACCACTGCAGAAGTTACCCCAACAGTCCTACTTGATCCATAATTCCCTCGATAGGAGGCGACGATCCGTGTTAGCTTGATGTTTAAATGGTCGTAAGAACTAAGCATTGCGCACACAAGCATGATGGCGTCAGCTAGCATGGCTAATTGTTAAGAGACAGCTACACTTTCTAAAATACGATGCAGATTAAACTTGCTGCAATATTTGTGAAGTAAAGTACAAGAGAAAAACTTAAAATCTGAGGAAACATCTGGTTAAGTTAAAAAGGCAAAGAGAGCACGATGATAAACAAAAATGCAACATATATTTTTATCGTTTTTACTGTTCCTCAGAGTAAAGCTCTCCTCATGTGGACCTGATGTGAGAAACCCCCTGAGATTTTAACCATTTAATCCACATAAACTCCAATATATTGTTGTCAGACTCACCATCATAACATATAAAGTTATGCAGGTCTTCACAGTCTGAGGTCGACCAGGCTCCGGTGGAAGCAAGGTTTACACACTGCCCGTTCAAATGCTGGCTGTAACCCAAGTTGTTGTACGAACTGCTGGTGGGAGAAAGCTGGTTTTCATCCTTAGACCACCTCCAGGTGCCGTTAAAGAGTCCAATCCAGACCTTGGAGGTCCCTGCTGCCTGCCGGGCCTCTGTGTTGTTGTCGCTGTTCTGGATGGTGGCGAGGTCGAAGAAGCTCTCCCTGCAGTAGGTTTGAGCCTCGCTCCAGTTCCTCAGCAGGCCAACGTACCGGAACTGTCTGACGGTCTGCTGGGGCTGAAGATCGCAGACGACCAGGAGACCTGAGAGAAGCAGCAGGGTCAGATATTTGACAGTAGTAAGGAAGGACAAGCAGCCGAGGACATCTCCATCAAACATCAGTAAACCCAGAACCTAACTGGACCTAACTAGACCATATTCTCCTCAGCCAGGCTCTGTGAAGCCTGGCTGATGTTTCAGGACTTGTGGCAAAGCTCCTGTCTCCTCTGGACGTCCAGCCTGTAATATCAAATCAGTGGAGGACTGAAGCGTGGTCTGCGCTGTTATTCCACGCCACAACGCCAGAGGGCCAATCAGGAACTAGCTGTGGGTCTAGATACGGCCGAGGCGGTGAGGAAGTGGGGGCAAGTCTGTCCGAGAACGGAGGGACATGAGGGCCAAAAAGAGCGGGGATCCAGGTGGAAAAAGGGTCCCAGCGTTCTCACGCACCTCGCTCTTCTAGCTGGTCCAACTTCTCGAGATGTGAGTAGGGGTTACCTGAGTGTTTATCATAGTTTTCTACAGGCAGGTTTACCACAAACGTAGATTCAAACCCTGAAATGATGGCTTTTAGTTTCCGTATGCCACCCTAAGAATTCCAGTCGGCCCATCTGGCCACCCCTATGAAATATTTCTGGAGGCGCCACTGCCCTAACCCTGTAAAGGCATTCTTTGAAAGCTGATAAGAAATAAAATGACAAATTCTTAAGAGGTTTCAAATGAGTTTCTATCATCTCGCCCATTGCAGCAGTGGTGCCATCTTGAAGTTTCTCTCCGAGCGCAAACATCTCCAGGTTGCACATATTGTTGCCAGAGCTGCACCTTTAAACAGAACCCGTTCATTTCATCAGTGCTTGTAAGCAGGTTCTGGGCCCTGTTCTGCATTTGCATTTTCCCTTATCAAAAACTTCTTCATCACTGTCATTTGCTCATCTCACACTGAAATAGAATGACATAATCTGCCACAATTAGATTAGATTAGATTAGATGAACTAATTGATTTCACAGTGGAGAAATTCACTCGTCACATAGTAAGAACAGAAGGTGCAAACAAGGAGGAAAAAGGTGCACGAAGAATAAACAATATATATACAGTATATCAAGATAAATAAGGATTAGGGTGCAAGTGTACATGTATCGTCCCACAATGAAAAACAAAATAAAAATAAGAAATGAAAAATAAAAGTAACAAAAAAATAAAATAAAAAAATACAAGGTAGTAGCACAGATGTTTTAGGTGACATATGTACAATCCGGATTACAGCACAGTCAACCAAGAATGGTCAAATAGGTGATATTAGATAATCACTCACGGCACACTGGTGAGAGAAGGACGGTCCTTCAATGTTTCTGTATAGGAGGTTTAATGCCAGATAATTCTGGGCACCAAATGGGTTCTAGTTCTGCAGAGCGATTTAACTTTTTTCCATAAAGGAGAATCAATCTAAGGTTTGCAAAGGGCCCCAGAATGTGCTGCTGATCCAGGTCCCACCAGAACCTAGCCAGCGACAAACAATGAGCGGGCCGGACCATCCTGTAGTCTGAAGTCAGGTTCCAAGGGATTTTAACAGAAGAGACCAAATCTGGGTGAGTGTTGGCCTAGTGGTTACAGCAGTGCAGTGAAAGTACCTGGTTCAATTACCGCAGCCTGCACTCTAGGTACCTGAGCAAGACATTTAACCCCACACCGCTCCCTGGGCGCCGTGCAGTGGCAGCCCAGTGCCCCCAAAGGGGAGGGGTTAAATGCAGGGAGTGAATTTCTCCAGTGTGAGATCAATAAAGTTCAATTCATTACATTTTCAATTCATTTCCATCAAGGAATTAACCAAACAGAATCACGTCTGAAAGAATTAAACCAACAAAACCATCCTTAAAGGTCCAAACGGGACCCGACCAGGAATCTTAGACAACCATAACACCTCTGAAACCGACCCTTTGTGGCAGCTTGTTAGAATAATAAAGTAATCATAGTTTTCTGTTTGTCAGAAGCGGATCAGAGTTTGAAGAGATCTCTGTGCTCCTCTAGGATCCTCCAAGAAGCTGCATGCCTGATTATTTTTATCAACATTAGAGAAAGATCCAGGATAGAAAAACTTACCTGCAATCATCAGGAGGAAGAATCCACATTTTTCCATGACTGTGAGCTGGAGGCAGAAAATAAAGCAAATTATTCAGACTTAAATAATCAGAGAAAGAAAAACATCAGACTGAGAGACTGAAGGTTATTAATCTCTATGAAAATGGAGGCAAACAATCCTAAAGCCTTCAACTTTTGGAGGTTTTCTGTTAAGTTTTACATTATTTAGCCTTTTTATATCAGGATTAGACCAATAAACTACAAACCTCATCAATTATGAACAATCTATGCTATAACCAGTTATTAAACTGGTAATAAACAATCAGTTATCAGTATAGGTATAGAAAACATCCTAAGAATATGGTGAAAAGTTTTGTTTTCAGTTATAAATGATAGTTTTTAACATTTTCAATAAAAGAGATTGATTAAAGCTTGTTTAATTTAAGAACAGTTTAATAAAGCTTCTAACTAAATTATGAATGTCCGCATAAAATGCAATCAGCGGCTTACAAACCTGAATCTGAAGAGTTTTTGTTGTGAAGAGTGAAGGGTGGAAAACGATCCGAGGTTTATAAATCGGACCCGTCCTCCGTCTCTCTGACCCGTCCTCTTTCATGTCAAGCCCGACTCAGACGTTAGTCAGGGTCCATTTGTTTAAGATGCTGATAATTGATCCTGGATGCAAACAGAAAACTAACGATTCATTCAAATACAACTGAAAAACAAACCATCTTAGGGAACAGGGAATCAGGATTGGAACCACAAGCTCACTGGTTCTGATCCATAAACAGAACAAAGGTCCATGTTTCTACTGGGTCTGTTGGAGAAAAGTTGCTGCTGAACGAGTCAAATCTAGATCTGATATCAGTTTAAGGTTTTTATCTACAGGATAAACTCCTTCAGGTGAACTTTTGTCTCCTGGATGTTTTTGCATGAAGTGAAGCGTTTGCATGGAGACAGTATGAGCGATGTGCTCCAGCAGCTCAGTTATTTGCTTAATGCTGTCATTACCATCATTTGGATAAAGAAGGCGCTTAGACTGAAGAGACTCTGCAGGAAAATCAGCATCAACATCTTAGATTAAAATCTCATTACAGGAATCTAACCATGATCAGGGATTATAGAGATGAGGTTCACTTTCTGACTCAGCCGTTCTGGAGGAACAAACTCATCCTGAACATCAGTCAGACCGAGGAGGTCTTAGTGGACCACAGGAGAGGGAGGACTTGCAAGGGATTGTGGGAAACGGTGATTAACAGGTTTGGACTCATTCCAGGAAAGGTCTAGCCCAGGGATGGGCAATTGGAGGCCTGGGGGCCCATTCCTGGTCTAGACTCATAACCCCGACCCCTCCCACCCAGGCTATGAGCTGTTTGCTGTTTGTAACAAAAATATCTGCAGTGTGTGACTTTTTCAAACTTTCAAATCATGTCCTGAAGTTTATGATTTGCAATAAATGTGTGTCATGCGTGGGGGAACCAAGAGTTCGACCTTCAGCACTTCCAATTTAATATCTCCCTTAAGGAAGCACCAGCCGGAGAAACATACAGCAAAGGAAAGTCAAGCAACCTGGAGAAAACTCGCACAAAAAAAAACAACACAGCTTTCTCTTAAAGACTAAATCAAGAAAAAACAGAAATACAACAAAGAACATCTGAGAGCAAAAATGATTTGTCAGAAAATCATTGAGTGCATTGCGTTAGACAACCAGCTGTTTTCCATGGTGGAAGATACTGATGTTAGGACTCCAGTCTGTGTGGTCTGTGTTTTTGTGTGTTTGTCCTCCTTCCTCCACCAGGAGGCGCCTGGTTCTGATTCCCCACCTCACACACCTGCAAGGGGTTTCCTCGTTAACGTAGTGTTCTTAAGCTGCTGACTGCCACTACCTCGACGCCAGAGTGTTTGCCAGTTTAGGGTACTCTAGCCAAGCTGAGTTCTGCTGAGTCAAACTGAGTTTTTCTCAACCTGAGTCTTAAAGTTGTTTTTTTTGTTGTTTTTGCCTCTCAGCAGGAAGTCATCCTGTAAACTAGATTTTCGGACCTTCTCTCCCTGGAAGGATCTACTGAGCTTCAAACTGAGCTGGGGATACAAACTGGAGGTTTGGATCCACTTTCCCCCCCGAGGAATCGTTTGAGCTTCACACTAAGCAAGGGATTCATCTGCACCACAGTCATTTCATGTACCGCAGGAAATCTGAGTGGCAGTCAGTCTTTTCCGTTCATCTACAAGCAACCGCATTCTGGGTAACCCTGTCCGCGCTCCACCGTATGAGACAAACACCGGAACACATTCCTCACCTAATGGAGTCTAAGAGTCAAAGAATTCTCTGGAAACTTGAGTCTGCCAACCAATTCTCCTCTTCAAGTTTGAGAATCAATTTTCCCACTGACCCTGGACTAACCGCAGTGTCTTCCCCTCACCTTTCAGTTCCAGTTGAGCAGTGTTCAGAGCAACACTGGAACCTCCACAAAACTTCTCAATATACCTGTTAAACTTTTCCCCTTGTCTCTCTGGACTGGTTTATCTGCATGAGGGTCCGAGCTCTTGATAAAATCATGACAACTGGATTCAAAAAACTTCTTGAATTCCTCGAGCCACGCTTCGACATGCCAAGTCGCAGATATTTCTCTGAAGTTTGCCTCCCCTGGCTCTATTGTGTCGTTCATAGACACGTTGAGAAGCTAATATCTAATGCTGTAGATATAAGTTTCACAACTCAGATTTGGCCTTCAAATGCTAACCAAGTTAGCATGCTGAGCTCTACAGTGCAATGGCTAGATCCTGATTTTGAGCTAAATAAGGCTGTGCTTCATTCATGGGAGTGCTGTGGGTCTCATACAGCTCAAGCTCTTACATGTGCATTTGAAAACAGGTTTAAAAGCTGGAAAATCTCCAAGGAGAAGTTGCTATTGTAAGGGACAATGCATGCAACATGCCTAAAGCTACGTCAGAGTTTGGTGTGCCTAGTTTGCCCTGCATGACACATAGGTTGATGAAACTCTGCTAGAAGCTGTTTGCAATTGTTTTCATGGTGTGCAAGATGAACCACTCTATGTCAATCCATGAATGGTTGATGCTCGTCACAAAGACCGTTACTTGAACTCATACAAGAAGGGGGATGCCCGGACTACGCTGCAGTGTGTTGTGGATGAAATGGCTGGTGGGGCTACTGATCAACAGCAAGAGGCTGGTGGCAGTGCAGATGACTCAACCCAGCAGGATGCGGACCCATCATCAAAGAAGGCCCGAAATGAGAGCCTGCAGGACATGTAGCAAGAAAGCCTTGCAGAGAATGATGTACAGCAAGCTGCAGCAGGTGTAACTGCTTCACAGGTGAGTTAATCATTTTTTAAGTAAAAATTGGAAAAATGTATCATATTATTGGCTTCTAGTATATTTAAATTTGTTGGGAGCTGGAGAAAATCCCATCTTTCTCCAGCAGAGTCCGCCGTGGATCCTCTGAGGGAGCCTCCTGCACAGCTGCAGCTCATTAAGATCATCAGAGGATCCACTACATAAGCTGTCTTCAGACCTTGCCTCAACGCCGCAGTGTTGTTCCAGTTGGTCAGCGCTAAAGCCTAGATCCTCAGTGTATCTCCATGACTTTGAATCCAGGTTGGATTCTAACTACTGTCTCTGTTTTCCAGGAAACCCGAGCCTCCTCTGTGAAAGCTCTGGAAGAGCTAACCTGCCGAGCCGACCCTCTGAGCCAAACCCTGAAGATTCACAGAGAACCCCCAAGCAGCTCTGGACCAGAGCTGGGAAACCAAAGCCAAGGTCTGTTCAAGCTAGACGTGAGACGCTGAAGCAGCAAACGGACTCTGCTGATAAACACCTCTCCAGAACCAACAGTGACTCTCCCAAAAGAGAACCTCAAGAACCCTCAAGGTACAATCAGTGCATCGTTGGAAATCAAACCCTGTCAACAGTCAATAACTGTGCTGTCTCTCACGCAGACTGGTGAAACCAGAATCCAGGCCCGAACCAGAATCAGTACATTCTGTGTGTTGTGCTTAATAAACTGTTAAACCTTCCATCCCTGTGTCCGTCAGTGGTGTTCTGCATAACTGGGTCTCCATTTGTGAACCCATCATGACAAAATTGAACATTTTGGTGTGCTCTGAATGTTTACACAATTCTATTTTTGTCATATAAACTAGTAAATATAAATAGTGAATTATATATGTATTGGGTTTGTTTTGAAGGTTAACACAATCCTTTTTTTGCTTTTATTTTTTGTCAGGTGCAGACATACTTTCGCAGAGATTCACATCATCAAGACAGCTTTACCATTGATGTACTGGAATTCCAACCAAAGCCGCTTCCCTGCTCCGCTTCCCTGTGTTGCCTAAACTGAACTTTTTCAAGGTCAGGATTTAAACCTACATTGGAAAAATAGGCCCAAGCCTATTAAATATGGGCCAGGAAATGATCCATGCCTCACCAGGGAATAATTAGACTCATGCAGGGTACATTGCTGCCCCCTGGTGTTAGGGTTAGGGTCTGTTTGAACAGAAATCCTCCTCTGTATTCATGGCAGAACAGTGCAGAATGGATTAGATGGAAATCTAGCTGAGAACCGTGGAGTGTTTGGACTTTCCCTCCAAATCACAGCCTCTGATGGTTTGATAACTACTGCTATAGGTGGCTGATCCCCATTATTTCAAGTCCCTTTTTTATTTTTAAATTTATTAGTTTTCTAAATGCTGCTGATCAAACAGAAAAAAAAATGAACTTAGTAATCATGGGGGTGGGGGGGGGGGGGGGTTGTAGAGGGAAGATTAGAATGATTCTAAATAACTATTAATTAATAAATAAAATATTGACAGTAACCGCTGAAGGCCTGGTTGTTGTCAGCCTGTTTAGTCTTAGAGAGAGATGTCAGGGAGTGACTCTTAAAGCCACATTATTCTTTGTCGGTTTGTTTCTTCTTCCTGTTAAGCAGAGCAGAGACAGGATTCCTTCTGGGTCACTGATCCTCTGACCTGCTCTAAATATCTCTAAATATAAGAAATATCACCATCCCATAGTGGTTCATCCATCCTCTTATTGCAAAACATCTCTATGCTTTTGCTTTGTTAAATAAAACTAAATACATAAAATGGATCAAAGCAAGAAACTTAGATTTTATTGTCCTTTTTTAGGAAGATTTCAAAAACTGTTTTTACTAATGTTTAACAGTTTATGGCGTTTGACCAAAGCTTCACTGCTTTCCTTTTTAGGGTTACATCTTTCCTTTACAAGTTCATCTAATTTTTATCCAGAGCTGTTTTCCTGACTTTTCAATTATTTTTACTGTTTGCTTCTTTTCACTCTTCTTGGTTCAGTTAGAGATGTTTTCTGTTGGATGTTTGGGTTTATTAGTCTTCCTCCATCAGCCACCCTCCTTTCAGGCAGCAGAGGTTGCTCGCCTCTTTCTGTTCCTATTTCAGCTGTTTGTCTGCCTGCTCCATCTCTGACTCTCTGCATGGACTTCATGACCTTTTCCTTCTCTGAGCTTCTTCTAAGTGTCTTTATTGTTTGATTATTTAGATAAATGTCTGTTTTGTTTTAGGTCCTTTAAACTATCAACCTTTAATCCAGGATCTTTCTACTGGGATCAGTTTTCTCTGGTTTATTCACTAAACAGACAAAAACTATTTATTTTTCATATTAAAGAACCTCTGAGCTTTAAAGTTATTATCATGAAATGTTCAGTTTAAAGTAACAGACCTGACCGTCCAAAACTCGTCATTATTTCTAAATGAACTAATAGTCTGATGCTTTTATTACTGAGTTTAACAGCAGCAGGTTAAAAGTGAAGAAGAAATTAAAACGTTTAAAGGAAAATAGCATTTACTAAACCTAAAACTAAAAATGCTTCTAACTATTTTGTAGAAAACAGAAAAATCAGTTGTCTTCCTCATTAATAACCAGAAAAGAAATGAATGTGATGATCTGATCAAAGCTGAATTTATTGTCTTTTTATGTAACAGTGGTTATTGTTGCTGCTGAGTACAAGGATGCAAAACAGAAGCTTTACTTCTTCATAAATGAAATGTTCTCACAGTTTAACTTGAACAGAACAACATTTATACTCAGAGAATCAATTGTTCAGCTGGAAAGGAAGAAAACTTCAATGAAGCCAAAATAAACTGAACATTTAGATAAACTTAAATGTTGTCATTTACTGACAGTTAAAACACAAAAATCTCTGGCGTAATTTCTTCCAAAACGTCTCCTAGAAACCAGGGTTTCTAGCTCCAGGATTAATAGTCTCCTCTATCCATTCCTTGTACTCGCAGACATCCATGAAACCAACTGGTTTATTACAGGCAGTTTTTGAATCTCCAGTGAAGGAATGAACACCATAGAGTCTGTCCTGGTAGACCCATCCGCCCCCAGAGACGCCCTGTCACAAACAAAGGGTTTCAGTCCTTTAGTCACAGATTCTAGTGAAACGCAGCAACAAGGTTTAGGTTTTATTAAGAAGATCGATAAAAGACCAACCCGGACTGTGTCCTGCGTAGAGCTTGCAGCACATTTCCAGTACTGATACAGTCTCTTATTTCTTTTTTTTTCTGGCATCTCCTTATTTTCCACAATCTTCATGTCGGCACAATAGAGCTGAGATGGATTCATCTTCGGGTTATGATCTGAAAAGAAGCATAAACAGATAATCAGCCTGTCTTAATATTCATGTTCTATTCAGATTTCTTCACTTTCTGCCACTGATATTCAGTTTATTTCTGATTTTTCTGTTGATCTTAAGTTAAAGAAACTCTGTTGGCTGATTTAAATAATCTTAATCCTTTTGAGGTCATGAGAAAAACAGTGAGAAACATGAACATTAATCTTACATTTTTCATCATTAGGGCCCGGTTCAACTAATCCAAAACCTGCGATCTGGACTTCGGTTCCTCTGAAAGATAAGAAGAACAAAACTAGAAATAATAAAACTAAGCCTTAGAGAATTTGGAAATATCCTCCTGGATGAATTATGCCTCATCCTGAAGCTCAGAAACAACATTTTAGTTTAATTAAAAACATGACTTACACACTGAGGGGAGTTTCACAATCAGTCAGCTGTATAGGTTTGATTGTTGTTGGGTTTGGCAGCTTCACCAGCATGATGTCATGTTTACCATTGTTGTCTGTATAGATATGATGTTCAGTGACAACATGTTCCTCTTCTTGAGCCCCTTTAGGATGAACTCCTAAATATGCTGTATGAGTCCTGTGACAATAAAACACATTTATTAGACATAAGAACTCAATCATTGGTGATTTTTCATTAACAGTGTCCCTGTCTCACCTTCCAGACTTCCAGCAGTGAGCTGCAGTCAGGAACCATTGATCGCTGATCAGGGAGCCTCCACAGCGAGAACGTTTTATTAGATTATTTTCCTGTTTTTCCGCTATAAGCTTAACATGATAGTGACGCTCATTGTTATTACATGGGTGACCTCCAATGATTCTCTTTTCCAGATGGATGGAGCTCACTGGAACACCTGCAGAAGAAGGTTGGCTTTTTCAAACAGTCCAGGAAAAATGTTCTCAGCAGAACCAGGTTCTAACATCACAGTTAAATTCAGAAAGACGTCGTAGAAGCATTGAAAACTAAAACATGTCAGCATAGAGATGAGGTTTATATCCTGAAACACAGAGAACTAAAACTCATAATTCTGCTATTAAGGACAAAGAAGCACAATGAGACATTCAGAAACCACATGTAGACTAAGGTCTGTGTCCACTGGACGTGTCCACAGCAGGTCCTGACTCACCAAGCCCCAGCAGAAGGAGAAGAAGGTTGAGCAGAGCCATGGCTGTGGTTCAGCTTCCTACCGATGTCTGCAGTCCTGCAGCAGCTTTTAACCTCTGTTCACATCTTCCTGTTGGACATGAAGCCACCAATCACAGGATGGAAACTAATCAGCACCACAGCGCTCAGTCATCTGCATACAGGGAAGCTTCACTCACTCACTCTTTGTTTTATATTAAAAAAATAGACTGTTTAGTTTGATAAAGAGTCAGAAAGAATGGCCTAAAAAGATGAAATGAAAAAGTTTTTAGCTACAACAGTCTGACTGCTTTAAAGATTATTAACTGCTTGAAATAAAATAAAATAAAACTCCCAGAACTCAGTTTGAATATATTCACTTTAACAAAAATGATTCAGAAAAAAGAAACATTTAAACACACAATAAAATGAACATAAAGTATTTTTTTTTTATCAAAGTAAAGCCTTTATAAAAAAAAAACAGAACTAAAAGTCCTTAAAAATGGACGGAGGAACAGAAAATATCCGTTTTTTCTTCTTCGTGTTTTTAGATGAAATTCTGACTTTTCTTCCTAAAGAGGCTGGATGTAAACCTGGAAAACTAAAGAGTTTCTGTAGATAAAGGCAAATAGATTATTGATGTTTGATTTTCTGATCTATATTTAGAGTTACAATATATCTATATCTATCTATATTTACAATATAAAAAACAGTTTCCATTTGTAATTTAAAAAGACACAGATCTGAACTCTGTGTCTCTCAGCATGTTCAAAGTTTTGTCCCTGTGGTTAAAAGCTCTGCTTTCCATCCATTGTTTCACTGGCAGCAGGGCTGTTTCTGTTCAGCTCATAGTTTTTATAAAGAGGTGATCCAGAAACAAACAGCTAGAAAAGCTTTATTAACAAAGAACAATGTGTTGGAAACATTTCAGCCATAAAGTCCTGTTAAATTAGAGGCTTCCCTATTCAACAAAGTGTGACCCCGATTAGATTTGTTTAGATTTATTTACTCAGAAATACAGACTTATGGAAGGTTCTCAGTTTTTAGGCATGATCGTTTTCTGCTATAGCGGTATTTTCTGAGCTGGCCCTGAACGCATCATCTGCGGCTGAAGGAGGCAGAAAAAGTTTGCTCTGCTATGAAGCATGCTGTTCTCCAGTTAGCACCAAACTAGAGCATTTTCTCTGAGCCTCGGTGAGACAGAGAGCTGCTGTTCATCCCTTTTTTTGTTTTGTTTTTTATTAAAAAAATATTTTATAATATAAATTATAGAATATTATAATGATTATAATATTTTATAATAGAAATAAATATTTAATTTTATATTAAAAATAAAGGAGTAGAGGACCCTCTCCCTGGGCTGCCACCTTATCGGGGTGGAGGGGTTTGAGTGTCCCAATGACCTTAGGAACTATGCTTTCTGGGGGTTTTATGCCCCCTAGTAGGGTCACCCAATGTAGACAGGTCCTAGGTGAGGGGCCAGACAAAGAGCAGCCCAAACACCCCTTATGATTAATACAAGAAATGGACATAGAGTTCCCTCGCCCGGACATGGGTCACCGGGATCCCCCCCACGGGAGCCAGGCCTGGAGGTGGAGCATGCTGGTGAGCGCCTGGTGGCCTGGCTTTTACCCATGGAGCCTGGCCGGGCAAAGCCCGAAGAGGAATCTCTGGTCCCCCCTCCAATGGGCTCACCACCTGTGGGAGGGGCCAAAGGGCTCGGGGGCATTGTTTCATGGGTGGCAGTCGAGGGCGGGGACCCTGGTGTTCTGACCCTGGGCTGAAGAAGCTGGCTCTTGAAACATGGAATGTCACCTCTCTGGTGGGGAAGGAGCCTGAGTTAGTGTGTGAGGTTGAAAGGTTCCAACAAGAGATAGAGGGACTTACCTTGACGCATGGCTCTGGAACAAGTCTCCTTGAGAGAGCCTGGACATTCTTCCACTCTGGAGTCGCCCCTGGTGAGAGGCACTGAGCAGGTTTGGGCATTCTTGTTGCCCCTCCTCTTGGTACCTGTCAGTTGGGGTTCACCCCGGTGATCGAAAGGGTTGCCTCCCTCCGGATATGTGTGGGGGGACAGGTTCTGACTGTTGTTTGTGCTTATGCACCAAACAGCAGTTCAGATTACCCAACCTTTTTGGAGTCTTTAGGGGGGTACTGGAGAGTGCCCCTCCTGGGGACTCCCTTATTCTTCTGGGGGACTTTAACGCTCACGTGGGCAATGACAGTGAGACCTGGTGAGGCGTGGTTGGAAGGAATGGCCCGCCTGACCTGAACTTGAGTGGTGTTCTGTTGTTGGACTTCTGTGCTTGTCATGGATTGTCCATAACGAAAACTATGTTCAAGCATAAGGGTGTCCATATGTGCTCTTGGCACCTGGACACCCTTGGCCGCAGTTCGATGATTGACTTTGTTGTTGTTTCATCTGACCTGCGGCCGCATGTCTTGGACACTCGGGTGAAGAGAGGGGCGGAGCTCTCCATTGACCACTACCTGGTGGTGAGTTGGCTTCGATGGTGGAGGAGGATGCCGGTCAGACCTAGTAGGCCCAAACGTATTGCGAGGGTTTGCTGGGAACGTCTGGCAGAGTCCCCCGTGAGAAGGAGCTTTAACTCCCATCTCCGGCAGAGCTTTGAACATGTTCTGAGGGAGGTGGGGGACATTGACCTGGCCGTTCACACACAGGTCACATTTGAAAAGATCAGATTGGTATCGGATTCAGGACCGCAGAGCCAAGTGGCCTGGGTCGGATTGGAAAAAAATCGGATCCGTGTTGTTCAGACTGTCATGAAAATATCAGATCCAGGTCGCAAATGGCCAAAAAAATCGGATTTACATTTCTGGTCCTCATCTTTAATATAATAAACACATCAAAGCCATTTTTTTATTAACCGTTTCCGATAATGAACTTCATCGTCAGTGATGCGATCTGTTCCTCATCTGTTTCTGCATGTTCTTTCTACCGTAATAAGAGTCTACACACAACATATTTCCCCTCATTCATAAAAATCAGGGACATTTCTGGGGACAGCTTTAACCGGGGACAGGTCTGGTCACCGTACTTCAGGTGAGCGTTTCCAGAAGGGCAGATGGAGGAGCAGAGACAGAGCAACCAGCTGGGACTTCCAGCACAAGACATATAGGGACTAGACCAAGGAAGAAGAGAACAATCAACAAGGAGGAGCTGCAGGGAGGTCAAAAGGTTAGTATTAGGCTATTTTTAGCACAATCTCAGCACAAAAAGCACTTGTGGGACCTGATTACCACAGGATGTCATTTATCCATTAGGTGTATGTATCTGAAACCCACTCTTCTTTCCAACTCTAGCTAACCACCGCCTGATGAGGCACAGCTGGAGATCAGACCTGCCGATTACACCCTGCAAAGGAAGGAGGTGAGGAAATAATACAAAACACTGCATAGAAACACAGGACATAACATGGAGACTTTCTAGAGACAATTCAATTAGATCATCCAGTCAGACTAAAGGTTAAAAGTTTTCTAAGGGAAACATTATTAGTAGTAAATAGCGGTGGCTCTTTAATTTAGCTTACGACCTGCAGCTACTTTAAATTAAAGGTTTCTGACCACACAGTTCTGCAGCTCATTACTTAAGATTTCTGGGGCTAAATTATAGAAAAACAAGAAAATTACACATTTCTCTGAAGCAGAAGTTTACAGTGACTTCCTGCACCTCCAGGAGTAACTATCTGATTAATAGATGAACAAACAATGATGAATATCTGCTTCTCTTCTGTCCTCCTAGTCATGCTGAGGATGATCAGTTTCACTGCAACAAGCCAGGTGTCTTTTGCAAGAGTCTTAATTGTGAAATGCTGATTTGAGAACAAGATAAGAATGACACAACAAAACTGATCTACGTCAAAGTCGATCATAATGAACAGAGTTTAATTCTAGAATTTTGTTCTTGTTTATCTTAGTCCAGCAGAAAAAGTCTATGGCTTCTAATATACTAATCAGACAACAAAGGCTGTTTGTACTTGATGGATCATTTCAGATCAGAGTAGAAAAGCTGTTCTAGATTCTTTTTTCTAATACCTGAAAACAACTACAGTTGTCTTGTAAAAAGAGTTTGCATGTTCTCCCCGACTGTGGCTTCCTCCCACAGTCCAAAAACATGAAGACATTAAGTTAACTGGCTTCTTCAACTTGTCCTTAGGTCTGAGTGTGTGTGTGAAGGGTTGTGTCTCCCTGTGTTGCTCTGAGACAGACTAGTGATCTGTCCAGGGTGTACCCCGCCTCTCACCCATTGACTGCCAGAGATAAGCGCCGGCCCACCACAACCCTGACGGAATAAGAAGATGGATGGATGGATTTAATGGAATAAGGGGCCATTAAAATTAAACAGATAAACTGAACATATTAAAAAAATAATTATTCAACAGACAACTTCATGCTCACTCAACAAATGATGATGAAGTAATAATTAAACCTGATCTATAAAAGTTTTGATCTACAAAAGTAGTTTAAAATGATGAATTACAAATATGTAATAATAACAATGGTCTGCTTTCAAAGATATTATTGTTGAGAAGATGATTAATTTAGCTTTGATCATCTTTAGCTGTGTCCGAACATCCGCCCTAAGCCCTATATAGGGCACAATATAGTGGTTAAGACCGTCTTCTCATCCGATTTGGACGCAGCTCTGTCACGCTGCCTCTGGGCAATCAAGTTTCGCACCCTGGCAGCTGCAGCAAGGTGGTAACCGCGCGCCCTTATGGCAGTGTTTTTTCAGGCCCTGAAATGACTAACTAACCTGCCTGGAAGAGCCCGAAACCTTGAATGAACTGATCGCTCTAGTCACCCGGCTAGATAAATGGTTAAGAAACAGGAGGTGGGTGCAGGTCCATAGATTCCCACCGCGACCAGTGACCCGTTCCTCTGGACCTAACCGAACAGCTTCAACGCCCCCGCATGGTCCTGAACCCATGCAGACCCCGGAGGAGAGGGCCCAACGGTGGTAGTGGTGCCCCAATACCAATACCTAATACCTGGCTGTGGAGTATTGGCTGATACCGGTACCATCTGTTTGAAATTGATGTGTGCGTATCTGTGAAGAACTGCATACTACTTGGATGTAAAATAATTACCATCATGGCTTCATGTCCAGCTGCTGCCTACCTTTGTGAAGC